CCCCCTTCCTCTCTCCACATATGCCCCCCATGCCCATTCATTCTGCTTGCTAATCAGGTGACTCTCCACTGTACCTGCCTGACCCTCCACCGGACAGGAGAAGCTCTCCCTCGGAGACACCCACCCCTGAGCTTTCTGCCCCCCAGAAACCCTGGCGTGATAAATTATGCAGCACCACCTTTGTGAGAATCAACCAATGCTCTCAGCCAGATGGGAGGGTTTGCTCCCGTCTTTTGTTTCCGGCTTGGCTGGTAGTTCTTATCCCCAGCTCAGCACAGAGGTGAGGGGGGAAGTCAGAAGGCCAAGTTGAGGCTTGCAGTCCTGGCCAGACTCTCCAGCTGGGGCTCAGACAGCGCCTTTTTCCCCCCTAACCAGAGCCGGCACAGCAGGATGTCCCGTCCACTCAGCTGGGAACCTGGATGGCACTGCCTACGTGCCATGAAAGAAAGGAGTTTGCTCGCGAGGACGGAAGAGGTGCCCAAGGGCACCTAGGCTGTTTGCGTCTTGCTAAATCACAAAAGCAGAAGCAAAATTGGAGTCCGTGGGCTGCCAAGAAACTCAAGCTTATTTTCCTGGCTGTTCTGGGTGACCGGGCACTTTCTGAACCCCCTACCCCCACCCCTCCCAAACATCACATCATTGGCACAGACTTAAAAGGAAGAATCAAAGAGAAGTCAGGGGTCAAGCTTTTGGGGTGGAGGAGCTGGGGTTGAGGGTCAGTTGGGGACTTGAGACCCACATCAATTATCCCTTGTATGCGGGCTGCTGAAAGCAGCACCTAGTCCCCTGCATTGGGACAACTGGTACCTGCTCAGCGCTGGGGGCTGACGCTCAGGGCCTCACCCCAGACCTCACCCAGACCAACTAGAGCAGAGACGGCTCCTCAGGTTCACATATTGCTGACTTAAGAGCCTCTTTTGTGACAGTTTTCTGAAACAGGAGAGAACTCTGCTTAGGTTTCACTAGACATGGGGCAGCTGGGGGAGGTGGATGGGCACAAGGTCTTCAAATGAGAACAGGAAAAAAAAAGTTGAATGAAATTTTGGGTTCCATTTTCACCCCTGCCACTCTAGTATAATTTAGTGTTTACTTAGATCCCAAAGGGCAAGAACCACCCCTAATCCACTTATGCAAGCTTGCTAACAAACAGCTAATATTTATTCAGGCCTATAGCAACACAGGAGTTGTTAGGCTCTACCCTGATCGGTCTGAACATATTATTGTCATTTACTTCTCCCAAGAGTCTCAGGGGATCCTTTACCGTCAATTATTGAGTATGGCTCCATTTTCAGATGAGAGCCCCTGAAGTTCGGGGAGATGAAGTATTTTGCACAGGGTCACGATGAAATGCCGGGAACCTGATTCAAACCCAGGCCCGCCTGTGTGTGCTTCCAAATCCCGGAGCTCTGCAAGAAGTGATTAGATCACAGCCTGACAAATGTGAAGCCTGCTGAATGAATGAGCCAATGAATGGGTACAGAACCCCAGGTCTGGAATGCTCCCGCGTGGTCAGGGAGGAAAACACACACACACACACACACACACACACACACACCGGTCCCGCCAGCTCTACACGCTGGGAGCTCGGCAAGCACAGACATTCACCCGAGCTATTTATAGTGCCACACTCGGACAGTGGCGGCCAACACAGCAGCTCTAAGCCTCCCCTCAACACCGCATCCCACCAGGCTGAGGAGGGCTTCTGATGCCGGCGATGGGTTGGCAGTCCAGCCAAGTCTGGGGCCCAGATGCCCCAAGTCCAGGCAACTGTGACAAAACTCATGGCTAAACGGCATCAAGGAATGTGGACAGACTGTGGCAGGAACCAGCTACCATGCCTGCTAATCATGAGATGTGCCCAATTCGAAAAACACACAAACGAACAGGGTGCCCCTTCAAGCAAACCTGTTCCTCTTCAGGAAACTCCTGGTATTGGGCTTCTCTTAAGAGGCAACAGAATCTGTTTTCCCTCCCACTATTTTCTTTTCAGGGGTCAGAATTGGTGAGTCAATTTATGGAAATGGTGAGCAAAGACCTATAAAATACCCAGTGCTCTGTGACCTCCTAGGTTTCCTACTGGCCCAGAAAACGCACATGCCCAACGTGCTCTGTGTGGGTCATGTTCAGGCTTGGTTCCCTTGCACCTGTCACTCTTAATGCCATGTGCAAGTCCCAAAGATGTCATCTGATATCCATTGGGGGCCAGAAGAGGAAGTCCAAAGTCAGTGACAAGCCAAGCCGTCTTTCCCAAGCCCAATAAGATTGGGGACAAGGTCAACCCGGTAACCTTACAAAACCTGATGGAAAGGGGTCCCCATCTCAGACCCACTTATTTGTGATCATTTGAGAAAACACTCGTTTTCAATCTGAGCAATCCCAGGTGGAATTTCCAACCTTCACTCCAAGGCAAGTTTTCCCCTCGACCAAGTGTTAAGATGATCTGAGGCCTCACCTTCTGCCTCCAGAGGAAGGAACCCATGGCGAATACCAGGAATTACGTTTTCTTCCCAAAGCTTTTGCTTTGGGGCTGCAATTGGCTGTGTTAAGGGTCTACTCTTGGCTCTACACTCCAGGATTACTCCTGGTGGGGCTCAGGGGAACTTATGGAGTGCTGGGATATGAACCCGGTCAACTATATGCAAGATAAGTGCCCTACCCACTGTACTATCCCTCCTGCCTTCATCTCAAATCTTTAAGGTTGGTGAAGCTCAGGCTAGATGATTCCAGAAAAGTCCATCCCAGCAGCATCTAAGCAAGTGTCTTAGATTTTGGGGGGTCTTAAATTCCCTCCAGGTGGAAGTCAAGCCTGCTTTTAACTGGGCTGCGATCCACCAATCTAGTCTTCTCCCTGAGCTCCTGAAAAACAATGTTAGGGATCCACATGGGGGTATGTTTGATTCAAGCCCCTGCTCAATCCCACGGGTGCACTGTGAATCCTTTCTCTCTCCCGCCCTCCAAGGATGGCCTAGAATCAGGTTAGGTGAAAGCCCGATCTTCATGACCGGACCATTGTTCTTCCAGGGCACTCACAGCCACCCATGCCTAGAAGGTTCTATTAAGCGTTTGTCCTTAAAATGAACCCAAAAGAGTTATCAAGCACCCTTTTATCCTTTTCATTATTTTCAATGTGCAGCACTCAACACACACAAATCTCTGCTCTCACTCTCGATGCAGATGCAGAGCTGACTTTTGGGACCAGAGGCTCTGGAGCAGTGAAATCCTCTGGGCCAGTCTCAGCCCAGAACCTTCCACCAGTTCCCCCCTTCCCTAGGGCGGGAGGCGACAATCCCCCTCTCTGGCTTTGTTGGTATCCGTTTTAGTCCTTTTCTTTCTTTTTTTTTTTTTTTTCCTAGTGCCATGCCATTTCCCTTGATCTTTTTCAAAACTTCCTCCAGGGGGCCGAGAGGAAAGTTCCATCGTCTTCCCTTGCAGCCCGAAGGGGGAAACCCCCCAAAATGAATAGCTGTCCCTTTAAGGGGCCCATGTGTTGGGAAGAGCAGCCACATTCCTACCCCAGTAGGGCCGCTGTCCCAACACGCCGAAGAGGCTACAAATAACCTTGCAGGAGAGAGCACAGGAGGGGAAGAAGAGCACAGTGCGCAGACGAACGTGGGTCGGCCGGGCCGGGGCTGGGGAAAGCAGCAGCGAAGACTGGAGAGAAAAGAGCAACATCGGCGTGCAAAAAAAAAAAAAAAAAAAGTCATTTACAACCCGCGGGTAGTTTCAGTAACGGCTAGGAGGGCTGCTGGGTGGGGGGGATCTGGGGGATGAACCAATCTCTAAAACAAGTGCCCCGACATCTCCAACGCCCCCAGCCAGGCAAGTCCCCGAAATGTGCACCGCGCGGCGGCGGCGGCGGGCGTTCTCCTCGGAGAAAAGAAAGAGCCGCTGAAGGTCCAGGCTGGACTGGTGGGGGTGAGGGGTGGAGGTGGGATTGGGGAGGGGGGCTCCATTCCGAAGCCCACCTCCTACTCATCCCCGGAGGCGGGCAGCCTGTAAAGTCGCAACGGGGTTGGGTTGGGTTTGGGGTGCAAAGATCAAAGTTCTGTGATCTGGGGGCAGGGACGAGACGGAGAAGCAGCTGCTACACAAATCGCGGGGTGCAAGCCCGCCCGCCCGCCCGCCCGCCCGGGGCGCGGGGAGACATCCCCACGGGCGCCGTCCGCACTCGCGGCGACGCCGGGCACCGAACACGAGATTTAACAAGGAGCAGATGAAGCCGCCGCGCGGCTGCCATGCGTGCGGCTCCCCGAGGGTCACCGCGCGGCCGGGGGACACCCGCCCACCCACCCGCTCCAGGACGGTCCGCGGCGCCTTCCAGCAGTTTCTCCCCTACGTTCCTTATCTGCCCCTTTCTCCGCCGCCCCCCCCCCCCAGTCCCCCCACGCCACAATCTCTCTCTCCCCCACCCCCCACCCCTTACCCTCTCGGGGAAGGACCCAGGGCAGGTAGCTGATTGGCCGCGGTCAAGAGAGGGAACCCAAAAACACCACTAAGGGGAGATGCTGCGAGCAAGCAGTGTCGTCGTCCCCCCCCCCCCCCCGAGACCCTCGGGTGGGAGCAAGGTCTGGGGTGCCGGGCACTGTTCCCGGAGCAGAGGAACCCCCCCAGCCCGCAGAGTTCAAGCATTCCGCGCGAGAGCTGCAAGCCGGGCGAGCCGAGTGCACGCTCCCCGCCTTCGCCGCCGTCCTCTCCCGCGCCCCTTTTCTTTGCACGCCTTCCCTTTGCACCGAGGACACGCAGACCCCATCCTAACCCGACAGGGAAGCCGCCCCCCGACTCCCCCGGCTCCTCCAAGCGTCCCCACGGCGAGGGGAGCGAGCTCCAGCCCGGCCCAGCCGCGCGCCCCGGAGGGGCAGGGGCAGGGGCAGGGGGGCGCTGCAAGTTTCCCTCCCCGCACGCTTTCCTCCGGGGGAGGCGACGGAGGGGAGCGGGTGGCCTCGGGGGTCCCGCAAAGCGGCGGGGGAGCCCCGGACAAACTTGGCGGGCGGGTCGCTTACCGTGCGCGAGGAGCAGGGCGCCCAGCAGCAGCAGCAGCAGCAGCGGCGGCAGCAGCGCGCCCCTCGGCCGCCTCATGGTGCCGCGGCCACCCGCGGCCGGCCCGGGGGTCCCGCGGCGCGGGGAGTCGGAGCACGGGCCCCGAGCGGGGGAAGTTCCCGGGGACACGGCGCCGCGCGCCCCGACACTCGCCCTCCCGCCGCCGCTGCCCGCAGTGCCGCCCGCGCCGAGGCCGCCCCGCCAGGGGACCAGCAGGGGGGGTGTCCCGGGCCCCGCCGCCCCGCCCCCCGCGCCGCGGCCCCCGCCACCGCCACCGCGCCTGGGCCCGCCCCCCGCGCCGGCCCGGCCCCTTCCCGCCCTCGGCCCCCGCCCCCCGGCCCGGACCCCACCCGCCCGCGCCTGCAGCGCGCCCGCCGCTCTGCGACTCGCCGCCGCCCCTCCGGCGTGCCTGACCCTCGAGAGAAGGCCCCCTTGCCCGTCCGCATCGCGGCTGCTTCAGTGTCCCGAATTAAAAAAAAAAAAAGATCCAAGTGGCCCCTCTCGAGTCCTGCTCCCTTAACCTAACTCGTGGGCGGAGTCGGGGGGAGCACCCGGCCTGACCCAAGTTGCCTGGACGTGACCCCGGCCCCCCTAGCGGCCCCAAGTGCAGACTTTATTGATGTGTCGGAATACGCAAGGCTGAGTAATGCATAATCCTCTTGGTCTTTACTGACATCAAACAAGGGGCGACAGGGGGTCCCGGGGGGGAGGGGGGAGGGGGGGCTGTCTCTTAACTAGCATTCTCACCGTCCGAATTCCCTCTTTGAGATTTTTCAGTCCCCTTCTCCCCGTCCACCCCCGCTGGCCAGGGCTCACACCCGCCACGACCTTCTTTCTTTTCATCTACTCATTTCCTGAGGTGGTTGTCTGCGGTGTCCAGTGGCCCCAGCACAGACATCCAGAATTGCCCCAGACAGATTAAGTTCCTCCTTGCTGTCTTGGTAAATCAGTCTTGATAGTCTCTCATCGTTTAAACACCCCCTCTCCCCCCTTTGCTGGAAGTAAGGCCTTACTTGCAGTTTTGAACTTGTTCCTGAAACATCAGCCTTCTCCTAGTTTCGGTCTGTCCACCTCCAGGCAAGATTGAATTTTAGGGTTACTACATGAAGTTATAAATGCCTTTTTACACCTTTGGTGCCGAGACTTCCGCAACACATTTATAATCTGGATTAGGCCAGAGAGACAGTACAAAGGTTAAGGCAGTTGCCTAACTAACTAGCTAACCAGCACCTAGCTAACCAGCACCTCATCCGGTCCTGAGCACCTCCAGAAGTCACCCACCAGCCCAGAATGAGGAGTTAAGCCCTGAGCACAGCCAGGCACGGCCTGAAACTCAAAATAACCATGTGGATTGATCTTGTAGGTTGAATCTTCCATTTTCTAGTTGGAATCTTGTCTTGTCACTTTTTTTTTTCTTTTTAATTTAGGACCACACCCTGCTGTGCTCAGTGGATCATGCTTTTGAGATATGCAAGCCGGGCATGAAACCCTGCCCTTCCTGCATGCCATCAGCCCTTTGAGCTATCTCCCCAGACCTTTGTCATGTTTCTTTTTCACCAAGTACTCCTTTAAGGTTCTATTTATCATTTCTGCTTCCCTGCTGGTATGCCAAACTTACTTGATAACCTAAAAACTTCAGATAACCTGAAGCTTCTTTCCACCACCTGCCACTTACTAGTAAATGTAAGTGGAAGACCCAAACACCCCCATTTAGCTGAAAGGAAAATAATTTGGCATAGTGCAAAGCAGATATTAGGAGATATTGCCAAAGGGCAGGTTAGGTTGAAAACTCTTCTTTGCTTGTGAAAACAAGGTTTGAAAAAACCCTTTGAAATAACCATTTTTGATTAAAGCTAACAATTTGGAAAAAGCAACCTTCCCCTCTACGAAGTGATTAACTCCTTCTTAGCCAATACTTTTTCTACGCTGTTTTGCCTGAAAATTTTCACCCAAATAAAATGTGATTGAACGAGCATCTCCATGGTAACTTTTTCTGAGACCTTTTCAGAATATGTGTAGTTCTTCTTGCTGACCGAAGGGGGCAGTAGAGTCAGGTCAGGTTTACATGATTTTACTGGTAGGAGGGACTGAAGGCCTTCAGTGGCTTGCACCTTCATCTGAAATCCAAGGAGGAAAAAGAACTGTCTGATTTTTTAAAAAATTGACGTGAAACTTCATTGCAACATCATAAACGTTTCAGGTATGCTTATATTTAGATGTGTTCAGTGGTGAAATCACACGTGTTGAAATCAACATAGGTATGTGTATACCACTGCAAGTTCAGTTCTATTCGTCCCACAATCCCACCTAATATTTTTTGTTTGTTTGTTTTTGGCCCACACTCAGCTATGCTCAGGGGTTACTCCTAGCTCTGCACTCAGGAATAACTTCTAGCGGTGCTCTGGGGACCATATGGGATGCCGGGGATCGAACATGGGTCTTCTGAGAGCAAGGTAAACATCTTATCCGATGTGCTATCATTCCAACCACCCTGTCCTCTCCCCCGCCCCCACCCCATCTTAATACTTTTTTTTTTAAATGCAATCTTGCTTGGCCTCCAGATTTCAGTATAAGTTGCTGACTTGCCTTGAAACCTGTTGAGAAAGATCTTCTGATTCTGGGGACCATATTTTGTTCCACATGAAAACTAGAGACATGTGGTATAATGAATCCATTTGTCCAAAAAATCCAGGACAGGCGGTCACCATACTTTCAATGTCAGGGGATTAAAAAGTTAGAAACAGTTTCCACTCTGTATGCAGAGGACAGACAGGTTCCTTTCCAGAAAGCATGATTTGTGTTGTTTTTCTGGGGTTGTGGAACAGGGGGGAGGCTGGCTGGCCCTGTCTGACTCAGGCTCGAGAGACTGTGTTTGCTGTGTGCATCCCAAGGCCTCCTCCTCCGTGGTTCAGCTCAGTTCTGGTGCACAGAGCCATCCCTGGCTGCTGTGAGTCACTGGGAATATCAATGGGTAGAAACGAAGCCTTGCCTGGGTCACCCCCTAGGGTGAGTTAAGTCTTGGCTGTCAGAAACCGCTCTTGTGCCAGGAGTGCTAAGCCATATTTATTTTTACCAGGCCTCTCAGACTTTCTTGTTTGGAGTGAGAGATCCTGAAAAGCATGCCAGAATGGGCTGTTTGTCTCCCTTGTTATTGTCCACTGGGACATGCCCCCAGAAAAGTTGTAGGGAACTGCCAATTCCAGAGGGGTCTCAGAGGCACTGGTTTCCTCAGAAACACCACCCCTCTTCTACATCCTTCTAGGACGATCCGGGGGAACTGAATTTCCAAGATCAGAATATTGCCCTGAATTAGACCATCACTAATGGTCCTTTCAAAGCAAACACAGGGGATGCTACAGCAGCAAAATTGAAATGGGCACTATTTTGATGCAGTGGGTTGGGTTGGTAGAATGCTCTCAAAACCCAGGTACCAATCAACAACCTGAATTTCGAAACATGATTCTTTGGAAAGAGTCAAAGTTCTTATGTTCCACACTTTAAAACAGTTCTTGGGGTTGGAGAGAGAGTACATCAGGTAGGGCTCTTGCCTTGCATATGACTGACCCAGGTTCAATCCCTGGTACCCTAAGTGGTGCCCTTAGCCTCACCAGGAATAATCTCTAAGCACAGGGATAAGTGCTTAGAACCACTGGGTGTGGCCCAAAACTCAAAATTTTTTTCTGAAGAAATGAAACAGTGATTTGGGGCTGGACCACACCTGGCAGTGCTCAGGGGCTATTTCTAGCTCTGTGCTCAGAAGTTACTTCTGTCAGTGCTCAGGGGATTGTGTCTAGTGCCGAAATTGAAATAGGAGCGGCTGCATGCAAGGCTAGTGACTTTACCCCTGTCCTACCCCTTCGACCCAAACAGTGGTTTTCAATAAGTAGTGACTTTGCAGACAGGGAGAATAGATAGAGATTAAGGATGAAGTACCTCAAATGAGCAAAATACCCTTTACTACAACAATAAATTGTCCAAAATGAAAATGTTAAGTACTAAAGTCGAGAGACCCTGCTCTAAATATCAGAACATGAATTTGGGGGGCTATGGAGATAGTACAGGGGTAAGGCACTTGCCTTGCATTGGATCCCTGGCACTGCAGATAATCCCCTGAGCACCATCAGAAGTGATCCCTGAACACAGAGCCAGAGGTAAGCCCTGACACAGTTTGGTGTGTCCTCCCCACCAAAGAAAAAGAACATGAGTCTACAAAGACAGTTCCATCTTTTCTTTAGAATCACTTTTGGTTTAAGACAGTGTGAGTGGAGGGGGAGTCTTTACTTAAGCTGTAGAAAGAAAGACAAGAGCAAAGGCAGCTCAAAGAGTGTGACATGCAGGGAAGCCTGGTTTCAGGATTCCTTCTAGCAGGATTTATTCATGCCAGGCGGTGAAGGGGCAGTGGCCATCAGATGTACAGGGTCCCTGGAACTGACAGTTTGATGGGGATATGGTTGGTAAAGGGGAGGTCACCGCTATGTAGAAGCATTAAAAGAATAATCCCCACCCATGAATTTGAAACTAACAATAATAGGGGCATTCAAGGAAAAATACAGGGTTCCATGAAAGGAGGAGAAGTTTGATTTAGATTTGGCAGGGTCAAGGAAGAAATTTCAGGAACACTGACATGTAGTTGAGTAAGTCATCAGGGCTCCGAGTGGATGGGGAGGGCCTCCTAGGCAGAAAGAACAGTATTTGCCAAGGCCCTGAGCCAAGAAAGAGTCCTTAGGATTTATGGAAAAGTGTCATTAACTTTTAGCAATGAGTGCTTTTATCTGGGTCCAGGGGAGACAAGGGGGCTGGGTAGAAAGTACTGGGAAGAATGTGATTTGCATTTCTCTGCTCTCTTTAATTGCAAAGTCTCCACAGCACCATCTCACGTTCCAGTGTAGCAGTCTTAAACCCATGAGGCTCTGGAGGCCAAGGCTAATCCATTCCCCTCGCCTATCTCGGGGAAAAGTGGGTCTTTCTAATGCATTTTTTCCCTCTGAAAACTTGTTATTCACACACCTGGCTTGTAGAAGTAGAATCTGACCAGCACCTATCTCAGTATGTTTATTTCAGTCGCAAAGATATATTTAGAAGGGCGGACAAATAAACACCCATTTAATAACAAGCATGGAGCAAGTATCTTTATAAATGGTTTCTCTGTTTCCGTATAAGTCAGTCTCTATATAG